TCAGTTGGGAGGTCACTCAGTCACAACTCAAGGAACCTCTAACAAACCTCTGGAGGAACTCTAGCGTTCTACAGAACCCTGATTAAGAATGGCTAACCAAGACAAATCCGTACCAAACGTGAGTCGTATTTGGTGCTAGACAGATGTCCGTAATAAAGAGGGCACTGATTGTACTTCATTTTTTACTTAAGCACGGCTGCAGTGCTTCCTGGCCAGCCTTAGCAGCTCACGGGTTGCCTTTACATGTTGGCTGACGTTGCTCTTTCAACTCCATTAATAGAAAAAAATAATAAAGAAATTAGTCTTGGATGAAAGACGTCAGCTAATGTGTTTGGAACGATTTCCTGCTTGTAGTGGTTTATAAAAGGGGATTAAGTTTGACAGATTGTGTGACTATTGGGAACAGTTCGCCCCCATATGACAGCCGTGTACACATGTTCTTATCCCCGGAGACATGCCTGGGCAACACTCCATCCTCACACAATGAGCTCTGATCCTGCCACAGACGCTGAAAGTGCCTCAGCTATTTATACAGCATCCTTTGACTCCTCTAAGGTTCAGTGGCAATAATATTTTTCGGCGGCTCACGGCAAATTACCCCCCACGGCCTATTCTTCCCTTTAACCCTTCTGGGGCTGTGACAGAATTGTTCCATTAAAGAATGGGTACGTTTAAAAGTCTAGTCTGCCAATTTTGCCGATTGATTCTGGGTTGTGTCACCTACTGGCTTCCTGTGTCTACTGGGGCCCCAGCACTGGCGTTCTCTACTTACTGTCTTTCCACTGTCGTTGGTTGTACATTGAAGATAAGTCCATGATAAAGGGTTATCCCTAGGCCCTATCGTATTAACCCCTTCTATATAACCCTAGCACTCAGCTCCGTGTAAGCCTCATGCTAACCCTCCTGTAATCCTAAATCTAACACTTCCTACAAGTCCAACACTAAACCTTTCCTGTAACGCCAACACTAACCCTAAAAGTAACCCTCACACTAACCCTTTCTGTAACCCTAACACTAATCCTCCATGCAACCCTAACACTAATCCTCCATGCAACCCTAACACTAACCCTCCATGCAACCCTAACACTAATCCTCCATGTAACCCTAATACTAACCCTTCCTGTAATGCCAACACTAGCTCTCTTTGTAACCTTAACACTAACCCTAAAAGTAACCCTCATACTAACCCTCCATGTAGCCCTAACACTAATCCTCCCTGCAACCCTAAGACTAATCTTCCCTGTAACCCTAATACTAACCCTCCCTGTAACCCTAACACTAATCCTCCCTGTACCCCTAACACTATCCACCCTGTAACCCTAACACTAATCTTCCCTATAACCTTAGCACTAATCCTCCCTGTAACCCCAACACTAATCCTCCCTGTAACCCCAACATTAATCCTCTCTGTAACTCCAACACTAATCCTCCCTGTAACCCTAACACTAATATTCCCTGTAGCCCTAACACTAACTCTCACTGTAACACTAACCCTCCCTGTAACCCTAACAGTAATCTTCCCTGTAACCCCAATACTAACCCTCCTTCTAACCCTAACACTAACCCTCCCTGTAACCCTAACACTAACCCTCCCTGTAACCCTAACACTAATCCTCCCTGTAACCCCAACACTAATCCTCCCTGTAACCCAAAACACTAATCTTTCCTGTAACCCCAATACTAATCCTCCCTGTAACCCTAACATTAATCTTCCCTGTAACCCAATACTAACCCTCCTTGTAACCCTAACACTAACCCTCCCTGTAACCCTAACACTAACCCTCCCTGTAACCCTAACACTAATCTTTCCTGTAACCCCAATACTAATCCTCCCTGTAACCCTAACACTAATCTTCCCTGTAACCCCAACACTAATCCTCCCTGTAACCCTAACATTAATCTTCCATGTAACCCCAACACTAATCCTCCCTGTAACCCTAACACTAATCTTCCCTGTAACCCCAACACTAATCCTCCCTGTAACCCTAACATTAATCTTCCATGTAACCCTAATACTAACCCTCCCTGTAACCCTAACACTAATCTGAGTAATCTGAGTGTCATATGGTCTCCTCCCGAAGCGGAAGAACCCTTCCCTGAACCCCCCAGTGTGCAAGACTCCCGACAGGGGCAAGTACACACTTAAGTCCACCTAGCCAAAAGGCCTGGCAGACCCCACTCCCCATGATCAGCCAAAGCCAACCAACAAGTACTATGTGAAGACCTCTCCCAAAAACAGACCCTCCCAATGCAGGGGAGGAAGAAACCTAAGGGCCACACATCCTCCATCCTAGTTCTGCCTGTAACTGCAGATGCTCAGCTCTACCAATTTTTTCCCACAATTTATCAAGCAATGGCCCCTGAAAGCCATTCCTTAAGAATGATTGGAAGAACGCCACCACCTGCTTGTTCACCTTAATTTTTTTTTTTTCTTTCTTGTGCAAAAAACAAAACACCAAAAGTGAACCATAAAAGTGTACTTAGATTGTGTCTTATGGTTACCTCCTGAAACGGAAGGACCCTTCCCTGACCTCCCGGTGAGCAAGACTCCCAAAGGGGCAAGGCCACACTTAGGTCCACCTAGCCAGAAGGTCTGGCATATCCCACTCCTCATGATAAGCCGAGGCCAACCAACGAGTGCTAGGTGAAGGTCTCTCCCGAAGATAGACCCCTCCATGGCAGGGGACGAAAGAATCTAAGGACCAGACATTCTCGCCCTAGACTAGTCTGTTCTCTGTAACTGCAAATGTTACAGAGTAATTTATCAAGCATTGGCCCCCTGAAAGCCATTCCTTAAGAATGATTGGAAGAGCGCCACCACCTGCTTGTTCACTTTATTTTTTTTCTTACTTGTGCAAAAAACAAAACACCAAAAGTGAATCATAAAAGGGCACTTGTCTCATATGGTTACCTCCCGAAATAGAAGGACCCTTCCCTGACCTCCAGGTGAGCAAGACTCCTGACAAGGGCAAGGCCACACTTAGGTCCACCTAACCAGAAGGTTTGGCAGATCCCGCTCCTCATAGTAAGCCGAGACCAACCAACGAGTACTAGGTGAAGGTCTCTCCCGAAGATAGACCCCTCCAGGGCAGAGGAAGAAAGAACCTAAGGACCAGACATCCTCCCCCTAGACTAGCCTGTTCTCTGTAACTGCAAATGTTACAGAGTCATTTATCAAGCAATGGCCCCTGAAAGCCATTCCTTAACAATGCTCAGAAGAGCGCCACCACCTGCTTGTTCACCTTATTTTCTTTTTTCTTTCTTGTGCAAAAAACAAAACACCAAAAGTGAACCATAAAAGTGCACTTAGATTGTGTCTTATGGTTACCTCCCGAAATGGAAGGACCCTTCCCTGAACTCCCGGTGAGCAAGACTCCTGACAAGGGCAAGGCCACACTTAGGTCCACCTAGCCAAAAGGTCTGGCAGACCCCCGCTCCTCATGGTAAGCCAAGGCCAACCAACAAGTACTAGGTGAAGGTCTCTCCTAAAGACAGATTCCTCCAGGGCAGGGAAAGAAAAAACCTAAGGACCAGACATCCTCCCCCTAGACTAGCCTGTTCTCTGTAACTGCAAATGTTACAGAGTAATTTATCAAGCAATGGCCCCTGAAAGCCCTTCCTTAAGAATGATCAGAAGAACGCCACCACCTGCTTGTTCACATTATTTTCTTTTTTCTTTCTTGTGCAAAAAACAAAACACCAAAAGTGAACCATAAAAGTGCACTTAGATTGTGTCTTATGGTTACCTCCCGAAATGGAAGGACCCTTCCCTGACCTCCCGGTGAGCAAGACTCCCGACAAGGGCAAGGCCACACTTAGGTCCACCTAGCCAGAAGGTCTGGCAGATCCCGCTCCTCATGATAACCCGAGGCCAACCAACAAGTACTAGGTGAAGGTCTCTCCCGAAGACAGGCCCCTCCAGGGCAGAGGAAGAAAGAACCTAAGGACCAGACATCCTCCCCCTAGACTAGCCTGTTCTCTGTAACTGCAAATGTTACAGAGCAATTCATCAAGCAATGGCCCCTGAAAGCCATTCCTTAAGAACGATCGGAAGAGCGCCACCACCTGCTTGTTCACCTCATTTTCTTGTGCAAAAAACAAAACACCAAAAGTGAACCATAAAAGTGCACTTAGATTGTGTCTTATGGTTACCTCCCGAAATCAAGAGGCCAATCAACAAGTACTAGGTGAAGGTCTCTCCCAAAGATAGACCCCTCCAGGACAGGGGATGAAAGAACCTAAGGACCACACATCCTCCCCCTAGACTAGCCGGTTCTTTGCAAATGTTCAGCTGTGCCACAATTTTACCTCTTCAAAGGTAAGAATTAGGACATAGCTTATTTCAAGGGGGGAAAACCCCGTAGACAGTTGTCCACCCTGTCCACTTGGTCACTTGGGCCTTCTGATGACCACCATTAGCTTCATCTGTAGATGTAAAAACAGTTGTCAGTTGTCAGCTTGGTTTAATCTTTTACAGTGAGTTAATTTTCAGCCTAAGTTAAACAGTTTTTTTTCTTTTTTGGCCTTTTGTTTTACTTTTTAAGTAGGTGGTGGTATGTGAGATAAAGCCACCAGGTGGGACTGGTGAAGGTTTTGTTGTGTTGCTCCTCCCAGGGGAAGCACAGAAGAGCGGTGGAGGAGGTGGGGGTGAATGGCAGAGGGAAGTTTGAGATCCAGGAGGAGGAGGAGGAGGGGGGGGGTGAGTATATATAGACAGCAGCATGCTGTGGATCGCATTTGTTGAACCTGCAGAGATTGGGCAGGCAGGCTGACTCAGGGAGCCACCATCGAATGTACAAAGAGGATATCCCAGACTGACACGTCCATACTACTCCCGCTGATCTCATCGACCTTTTTTGTTTTGTTTTGTTTTTTTCTTTCCATTTGAAAATTGCTGAAAGGTGACTGAGCCCCAGGCGCGTTCTCTCTCGTTCTCGTGTGCAGAGAATACCTCCGTCTTTTCTCCTCCGTACGGTCTGGTCCACCGACTTAACCCAAAGATGCCCAACTTCTCCGGGAACTGGAAGATGAAATGTTCTGAAAATTTCGAGGAGCTCCTGAAGGCGTTGGGTGAGTGACCGCACGTTCCAGCGATACGTCTTCCTCGTTGCTCATTGTACGCCGTGGTAGCTTAGGACGTCTTTAGGTTTTCAGGGTCGGGAGTGATGATCCAAGTCTGTCATTTATCAAATTTACCTCCCTGGTCCGAATATAGACCCGCTATCGAAATGCTTTTTTCTCTAATGGATATCAAGGGAGACGTCTAATACAAAAATCTTGTTCTAAAACAGTAATGTCACTTGATTTTTACATCACTTTGTCCTAATACAAAGGTATCGGTTTTTGTCCTAATACAGATACCAAGACTGGTCCTAATACAGATATCAAGACCGGTCCTAATACAGATATCAAGACCAGTCCTAATACAGATATCAAGACCAGTCCTAATGCAGATATCAAGAGCGATCCTAATAAAGATACCAAAACTGGTCCTAATATGGATACCAAATTCAGTACTAATACGGATACCAAGACCCATCCTAATACAGATACCAAGACCAGTCCTAATAAAGGTACCAAAACCTATCCTAAATAATATACCAAGACCAGTCCTAGTACAGATACCAAGACCGGTCCTAATACAGGTACCAAGACTTGTCCTAGTACATCTACCATGACCCATCCTAATACAGATACCAAGACCCATCCTAATACAGATACCAAGACCGGTCTAAGTACAGATACCAAGACCAGCCCTAATAAAGGTACCAAAACCTATCCTAAATAAGATACCAAGACCAGTCCTAGTACAGATACCAAGACCGGTCCTAATACAGGTACCAAGACTTGTCCTAGTACATCTACCATGACCCATCCTAATACAGATACCAAGACTAGTCTTAAAAAAGATACTAAGACCCATCCTAATACAGATACCAAGACCCATCCTAATACAGATACCAAGACCGGTCCTAATACAGGTACCAAGACCGGTCCTAGAACAGATACCAAGGCTGGTCCTAATAAAGATACCAAGACTGGTCCTAATACAGATACCAAGACCCATCCTAATACAGATACCAAGACCGGTCCTGATAAAGATACCAAGACCAGTCCTAGTACAGATACCAAGACCCATCCTAATACAGATACCAAGACTAGTCCTAATAAAGATACCAAGACCAGTCCTAGTACAGATACCAAGACCGGTCCTAATACAGGTACCAAGATTTGTCCAAATACATCTACCATGACCCATCCTAATACAGATACCAAAACTAGTCCTAATAAAGATACTAAGACTGGTCCTAGTACAGATACCAAGACTGGTCCTAATACAGATACCAAGACAGGTCCTAATAAAGTTACAAAGATCAGTCCTAGTGCAGATACCAAGACCATTCATAATACAGGTACCAAGACCTATCCTAATAGAAATACCAAGACCGGTCCTAATACAAATACCAAAACTAGTCCTAATACAGATACCTAGATCCATCTCAATACAGGTACCAAGACCGATCCTAATACAGATACCAATACTAGTCCTAATACAGATACCAAGATCGGTCCTAGTACAGATACTAAGACCGGTCCTAATACAGGTACCAAGACTAGTCCTAATACAAATATCTAGACGTGTCTCAATATCGATACCAAGACCCATCCTAATACAGATACCAAGACCTGTCCTAATGCAGACACCAAACCAGTCCTAATAAAGTTACCCATACCGGTCCTAATACAGATACCATGACCTGTCCTAATGCGGAAACCAAGACTGGTCCTAATAGAGATACTTTGATCTGTCCTAAGATAACCAAGACCGGCCCTAAAACAGATACTTAGACTGGTCCTAGTACAGATACCAAAACTGGTCCTAATACAGATACCAAGACCGGTCCTAATACAGATACTAAGATACCTTGTCATCATACGATTCATTATAATATAGAAGGATTTACATTCAATAATTCAGTTCTTCACAAATATCGGCATTTTTTCTTCTATCGTCTTCCATCACATTGGTATTTTTCTTATCCCCCCCCCCCCGTATGTTACTACAAAGACATTAGACATCTCTATTGTGCTCTAATACACAGAGTTTAGATTCACATCTGACACCTTGTCCTAAGGGCCCTTCAAACCTTTACATTCACCGAGACACACAGGAACGCGCGGTCATCTGTGATGCGGTGCCATCTATTCATGACGCAATGCGCGATAACGCGTGAAATACGGGGCGGTAATGCACTGCGGCGGCGAATCGCATAGGTCTGATTGGGCCCTGTGCACAAAGGATCAATATGTCCTACTTCATCCCTGATCATTCATGTGTTGTGCTCTAATATACAGGTTTTAGATTCACAGATGCTTGCTCCAATATGCAGATAATCAGATCAATATCCCATGCCACAGACTGATATTTCCTGCCCTTGTAATATTCATTGCTGTATATATCCTGCCTCCTCCTAATATACAGATAGGAAGAGATCCATGTCTGCTACATTATCCTAATACACAGATAATCAGATCAATATTCCATACTTATACCTTTCCCCAATACACAGATAATCAGATCAATATCCCATACCTATACCTTTCCCCAATACACAGATAATCAGATCAATATTCCATGCAATACTATGATATATCAGATCAATATTTCACATTGTGTAATATTCATTGGATTTTGTCCTAATATACAGAGCTCCATGTCTGATACATTATCCTAATAAACAGGTAATCAGATCAATATTCCATGCTTATACCTTTCCCCAATATACAGATAATCAGATCAATATCCCATGCCACAGATTGATATTTCATACCCTTGTAATATTCATTGCTGTATTATATATCCTGCCTCCTCCTAATATACAGATAGGAAGAGATCCATGTCTGATACATTGTCCTAATACACAGGTAATCAGATCAATATTCCATCTATACCTTTCCCCAATATACAGATAATCAGATCAATATTCCATGCAACATACTATGATATATCAGATCGATATTTCACATTGTGTAATATTCATTGCATTTTGATATGTCCTAATATACAGAGATCCATGTCTGGTAGAATATCCTAATACACAGATAATCAGATCAATATCCCATGCTTATACCTTTCCCCAATATACAGATAATCAGATCAATATCCCATGCTTATACCTTTCCCCAATATACAGATAATCAGATCAATATCCCATGCCACAGATTGATATTTCATACCCTTGTAATATTCATTGCTGTATTATATATCCTGCCTCCTCCTAATATGCAGATAGGAAGAGATCCATGTCTGATACATTGTCCTAATATACAGATAATCAGATCAATATTCCATGCAACATACTATGATATATCAGATCGATATTTCACATTGTGTAATATTCATTGGATTTTGAAATGTCCTAATATACAGAGATCCATGTCTGGTACAATATCCTAATACACAGATAATCAGATCGATATCCCATACCACAGATTGATATTTCATGCCTTTGTAATATTTATTGCTGTATCAGGGGCGGACTGACAACTCATGGGGCCCCCGGGCAATAGGGGATCATGGGGCCCCTGTGTCCTTGGCCAAACTCAAAAAAGCCTATAAAAAGGTACCAGGTGCATCTCATGGGGCCCCCTACTGACCCCGGGCCCTCGGGCAGTGCCCGAGTTTCCAAATGGTCAATCTGCCCCTGATCCTACCCCTCTCCTAATACACAGAGATGAAGCAATCCTTGTCTGATGTATTATCCTAATACACAGGTAATGTGAATATTGAATCTTTACACCTATTCCTAATACACAGGTAATGTGAATATTGAATCTTTACACCTATTCCTAATACACAGGTAATGTGAACATTGAATCTTTACACCTATTCCTAATACACAGGTAATAAGATCAAAGCCCCATGCCTCATCCTATGATATCAGATTGATACTTTTTACCCCACAATATTCATTGGATTAATATGCGTCCTACCCCTCTCCTAATACACAGAGATGACGCAATCCTTGTCTGATGTATTATCCTAATACACAGGTAATGTGAACATTGAATCCCATATCTCTACCTAATACACAGATTATCAAATCAATACCCCACGCCTCATCCTATGATATCAGATTGATACTTTTTACCTTGTAATGTTCATCAGATTCATGTCCTACCCCTCTCCTAATACACAGAGAGGAAGCCATCCGTGTCTGATATATTAGCCTAATACACAGAATGAGAACTTTGAATCTTATACCTCTCCCTAATACAGAGATAATCAGATCAATACCCCATGCCCAGGGGTGGACTGGCCATTTGGAAACTCGGTCACTGCCTGAGGGCCCAGGGTCAGTAGGGGGCCCCATGAGATGCCCCTGGTCCCTTTTTCATAGGCGTTTTTGAGTTTGGGCAAGGACACAGGGGCCCCATGATCCCCTATTGCCTGGGGGCCCCATGAGTTGTCAGTCCGCCCCTGATAGATATATATTTACATTTCTTAATACAGAACCTATTGCTGGGGTCCTGGATTCAGTTACCGCCTAGGAGCTCCCTTCATTTTTGGTGGTCTCCTCACCTCCAGCAGACAGAAGGCATAGGCTGGACCTTAAAAACATTAGATTGCAAGCTCCTTTTGCACAGAGGTTGTTACACTGTATGGTGAAAGGTATGTGGACCACTTCCAAATGAGGTGTCTCCTGTGGAGGGTACGGTTAATACCACAAAATACACAGACGTTGTAGACAATCGGGCTCCTCCAACCTTGTGGTAACAGTTTGCTGAAGGCCCTTTTCTGTTCCACAATGACTGTTCCTGTGGACAAAGCCAGCTCCATATAGACATGGTTTGATGAGTTTGGTGTGAAGGAACCTGAGTGTCCCTGACCTCAACCTTACTGATCACCTTTGGGATGAATTGGAACACTAATTGTGAGACAGGTATTCTCCAACATCAGTACCTGACCTCACAAATGGTGGCCAGCTCCATAAAGTCATGGTTTGGCCAGTATGTTGTTGAGGAACTCAAGAGTCCTCCACAGAGCTTTGACCTTAAAACCACAGAGCACCTTTGG